TAACGACGTTGCCCAGGGATTTTTTTCTTTTTAAGCTGAAAAACAAAAATGCTTATCTTTAAATACGTGAGGGGGAGAGCCATCTAAAGAACCCTGCGTGCTCTGCCATCTTCTTAGAAGCCTCTCCCTGAAGACTGTTATAGCTGGTAGGAGACAGGGATCCAGATGTTATTCAGCCGGGCTGCCTTTGGCGTGGAAATCTGCAGCATCCGGCTCAGCCTGTGGTACCCAGGCCCCAGCACCAACCTTTACTCTATAGAAACACCTGCCACAGAAGATGAGCCCTGGACAAGCGTGGAACCTGAGTGACAAGCAGATGTCCTTAAAAGCTCTCTGACCAGGGTTCCCCCAGTGAATGCTTTTCTCTCCCTTCCGCACATTTCTCGTAATTCCATAATTAAAGATTTCAGTTCATTCTTATTTTGTATACTGGCAAAAAAAAATACTTAATGGACGGTGGTATAAAATGTCTAGGAGCACACAGTATCTGGTGGTAATATCCAGTGATAATATCATGTGGGGGTGATACCCAGGGATGGTGCCATTTGGTGGTAATATCTGGTGATAATATTTGGTGACCTCTTTTTCAGCTGTGAGTTACAGTACTGGCAGCATGCATTTCACTGGAGACTTGCACACTGAAGAAGAGTACCCGGGGCTGGAGAGATGACCCAATGGTTATAGCACTGGCTGCTGTTCCAGGGGACCTGAGTTCAGGTCTCAGCACCTACATGGTGGCTCACAACCATCCATAACCCCGGTTCTAGGGGATCAATGCCCTCTAATGGTCCTCCTCAGGACCAGTATGTGCACATGCAGGCAGGCAAAACACCCAGACACGTAAAGCAAATTAACAGATGTTTAAAAGATAACAATATCACAATTCATACGTCTTTCCCTTTAACCTACAAGAATATTTCTCTAGAAAAAAAAACAACTTTTGTACAGGAGAATATACTATGGAACTCTTAAAAAACACTAAGATACATTTTAGACTGTTATTCTTCATTTCACTCTCTCTCTCTCTCTCTCTCAATTTACAAAATTGATTCTCTTAAGGGAATTTGAAAATTAAATAATATCTGACAAGTCTTAAGCCAGCAAATCTTTAAAAAAAATTGTAAAATACATAAAATAATTTGACACACATGTCATTGGGGAATGTGGTACTTAGTCTCTTTGACGGTTAATGTTGTCATCTTGATAAATCCTAGCATCACCTGGGAAACAGGTCTGGGGGAGTTCCTGGAAGGGGATTAGACTGGTTGCATGGATGGAGGTGGGAAGGCTCACCCACTGTGGGTGGCACCATCCCCTGGCTGGGACCCTGGACTGTGACCGTGGAGGAAGGAAGCTGAGCATCCATGACCCTGATTTCTGACTGTTGGTTGCTATGTGGCTGGCTGCTTCGAGACCCTGCCGCCTTGACCGCCCTGCCGTGGTGGACTGTGCTCTTGAACTGTGGGGCAGAAGAGACCCTTTCTCCCTTGGGTTTTTGTCAGGGTCTTTTGTCACTGTAACAGGAAGGACACCAAGGCAGCCCCTCCTCTAATCTCTACTTCTTGTTTCTGTAGTCCAAAGAGCATCAGAAGACTAGGATATACCTACTCACTTAGTGATCCTATTCTGAATCAGACACATTACAATGAAGAATATTCCTGGAAAACGTATGCTAAAGAAAAGATGATAAAAAGCGGAACTTCGAGAGGAATAAGGACCCATAAAGCTCATCTCGGTCAAGTAAGGCACTAGCTACTCATCTGTTGGATTTAATGCTGTCTTGAGCCTGTAAAAGCATTCCAAAGACTGTCTGTCTGTCTGTCTGTCTGTCTGTCTGCAGTGGCAAGAGTCATGCTCCCTTTGGACTGCCTTTACAGTCTCGTGTTCCCCCATATTTTTAGAGATCTGAAAAACTAAAGTGATACTCTGTAATATAAAATTAGCCGTGACCATGGGAACAGTTCAGCGGTGTTTAGTTCATTCATGTCATTGTGTGCCTACCAGCTCTACCTTGTAAAGCATTTTCTTCATCCCAGAAGGAAACCCCATGTCCGTTAAACAATCACCCTGGCAACCACCAATATGCGCTAAAAAAAAATTGTTGCATGTGTATATGTGTTTTGCCTTCCTGTATGGGTGCCACATGTTTGCCTGGTACCTGCAGAGGTCAGAAGAGGACACCACACGCCCTGGAAAATGGAGTTACAGATGGTTGTGAGCCTCCGGGTGTGGGTTGGGAATTAAACCCAAGTCCCTTGCAAGAGCAGCAAGTGCTTTTAACCACTAAGCTGTTTCTCCAGCTCCTCCCCATCCACTTTTGAGCTCTATGGATTACCTCTTCTGGATATTTTATATGAAAGGTCTTGTAGTGTGATTTTTGTGTCTGGTTTCTTCTATTTTGTAACACTTTCTGGGGTTTCTCATGTGATAGCAGCTTCAGTACTTTCCACAGTTGAATAATACTGCATGTGTACGCCACAGTTTTTTCATCCATTTATCCAGTGATCCGTCTTGGGTTGGTCCTACCTTTTGGTTATTGTGCGTAATGCTGCTACGAACAGGTGTGCAGCAGAGTGCTTGTGGTTAGGATCATGTTTTGGACACTCAATCCTTCCTGCCCTCTATCACTGCTGCTTCTCTTTAGAATTCCCTCTTTTGCCCCAAAGGAGCCTCTCTTCCATTTCCCCATGGCTCAGCCCAAAGAGCTATCGCGCCGCTTCCCCGGTGGATGGAGGTCATTGACCTCCTGCTGTGTTTTCCTGGCACAGTCTGGTCTTCTCCCATCACGAAAGCCTCTGTTGTAAAGGGTTTTATCACCCAGACTGCCACCTGGGTCGGAGCCACCTGGAGTTATCCGGCAGATGACGAAGCGGAAGAATGGATGATGCTGATGATTAAGCCGGAAGAGATGAAGAAAGACAGCATTCATATTTCTGACTTGTATGTGTGATGCTGATGCTGCAGAATGGGCTGGAAGGACTCTGTGTGGTGGCTGAAGGACAGGAGGAGACAGGAAAATACACTGGATGGAGGTCTGTCCATCAGGTGGATGAGTTGGAGATGTAGACCTGAGAATCAGAAGGACGTACACCATGACACATTTCATTTGCCTGTTCTTGACTTCCATTGGCTCAGCCATTAAGAGGCCTTGACACTCTTGCAGAGGGCCCAGACTCAGTTCCCAGAACCCACATGACAGCTCACAGCCATTCATAATTCCAGTTCCAGGAGACCTGACGCTCTCTGCTGACCTCTGAAGCACCAGATGTGTATGTATACACACACAGGCAAACACTCATACACAGAAAATAAAAATAAGTAAATATTTTTTTCCAAGCAGAGTTTGTATAGTCCTGGTTGTCCTAGAACTTGCTTTGTAGACCAGGATAGCCTTGAACTCAGAGATCTGCCTACCTCTGGTTTCTGAGTGCTGGGATTAAAGATGTGTGTTATCCTACCTAGCCTAAAAAAAATCAAAAATTAAAAGCAATGCAAAATAATTTGTTATATTTATTGAAAACGTATATACATACACATACATAAAATTTTCCTTTATCTAAAGTACTACTAAAGACTTTGAATTTTTTTATGTGTATAAGTATTTTGCCTATATGTACATCTGTGCACTATGGTACATCTGGAGGCCATGGAGCCCAGAAGGCATTAGATCCCTGCGAACTGGAGTTACAGGTGTCTGTGAGCTGCCATGTGGGTGTTGGGATTGGACCCTGCTGGGCACACCTCAAAGTTCTCCCACCATAGCCATTCTCTACCACATCAGCTGTGAGTGTGGGGCAGTGCTTGGGGCCTGGTGTGCTGGACCACGGAGCTCTCTGGCTGGTGGTACCACTTTCTGAGGGAGCTGGGAAACATGGTGACTTCTGCGTCACTGTTAGGAAGCACAGGCAGGGACAGCCTGAGGAAAGGAGGGACCTGATCTGGCTTAGCCTGTCATGGTTCAGCCCATGTTTTCCTGGCTGCATTTGAGAAAACATCATGACAGCGGGAGGGTAGGGCCTCCAGCCCATGGGATGGTGCTGCCACGTTCAGGTTCAGTCTTATCCCCTCAGGCAATGCTCTCTGGAAATGCCCTCCTGGACACAGAGGAAGCATCTCTCGGACGGTATAAAATCCAATCAAACAGACAATGAGGTTAACTGTAACAGACAATCACGAGATGAAGATGGGGGAGAGATGGAGGCGATTTCAGTGTGTATCGTCACTGGCTCTCTTAAATCCGTCACCACAGCGCTGCGGCTCTGGAAGGGAGGAAGCCTTTTCTCTATGACTCTCAAAGAGACACCAGACACTACCTCCGCTCCTTACAAACGTGTCACCAGGACCAGAATTAACATGCGTGTAGTCTATACAAGAGTTCTGCTCTCGACCTGCGAAGTTGACAGTCCTCTTCTGTTGTCGGGGTCAAAGGTCAAAACAAGCACACAAAGGGTGTCTGTGATGGTTGACTCTCCATCCTTAACCTGACTGGCTTTAGAATGGCGTCAGAGACATCCCACCCTGCGTGTCTGGGCGTTTGCTGAGAGATTTAACTGGGGAGAGAGGCACTCAGATGTGAGTGTTGTCAGTCCCTGGTCCTATACTGAATAAAAAGGGGCGGGGCGGGAGGAAGCTAGCTGAGCTCAGTTCATCTACCTCTAATTCCCAACTAAGGATGCTGTATGACCAGCCACCTCCCAATCTTGTTGCCTTGCGTTTCCCATCACAGTGAGTTATAACCTTCAAACCGTGACCTAAAGAAACCCGTCCTTAAGCTGCTTTCATGAGGTATTTGCCACAGCAAGAAAAGTAGCCAAGTCAGCACCTGTGTGATGGCCCGTGACGGCCAGGCCCCCTTGCCACGCTCTCTGTACAGGCAGCTGCGGTGTGGTCGCTGGTCATAAAGGCTTCCAAAGAATATGGACACACAAACACTCGTGTGTTCCGGACTCCATGAAGTGAGCCTTCGTGGACTCTTACTAAAACCGTGCTTGCATTGACAGGAATTCTTCCAGTGGACACTCCCTAAAGGGAAACCAGCCCACCCCCTCCCTTGGATAGAGGCTCCATCCATGGAAAAAGTCCGGGAGGCGATAGCAAATCAGTTTGTTTCCCATACCAAGAGGGACTTCGTGGATGTGGCTCAAGGTAAGCAGATGTCCCTCCTTTCCCTGGGCACGTGCCTGGGCAGTGGTACAGCACTGGTGAGTGGCATGGAGGGAGTCTTTCTCTCACAGGAACTCCCAAGCTAGTGCGGGACAAGAAATTTTACCAACAAAACCAGTCAGTTACAGAAAGGTACGCCTTGTAAGAAGTGTAGGTGGCTGGAGCAGGGCTCAGTGGTAGCATTTTTGATCCTTAGCACTGCAAAGCGAACAAGCGAATAAATAAATGTCCGTTGCTATGGCCATCTATCCCGATGGAGTCTAAAGACCTGAAAAGACTCCCATTAGCCAGGAGTCATAGTGAATGCCTGTAACCACATCTTTGGAAGCCAAGGCAAGAGGACTCGGAATTCAAGGTTAGCTTGACATGTGTAACAAGGCCCCGTCTCAAAACACAAAGCAGGGAGCAAAGGAAAGAGAAGGGATGAGAAAGAGGAGAGAAGAAGGAAGAGGGGATGGGAAAAGAAAAAGAAAAAGACACCCCTTCCCAGTCCCAGTGGGTGATGGGAACTAGACGTGTAGAGCCATGCCTGGAGATGCCTTCGTAGCGGGCAGCTGGTTTAAATGAGCGAGTGAGTGATGGTGTTTTCACAAGGATGCTTGTAGAACTAGAGGGCTGAGCACATGACTGCTGGGATTCCCAGAGTGAGGCTTCCCAGAATGGGGGTCAAGGTGGGGGGGGAGTGGGGATGTGGTGGTAGAGATGGGGAGCGGTGTTGAGGTCTTCCTGGCTGGTGTGCAGACTTTTGGTCGCCTCCCCTCTTTTCTCAGTCCATTATTCCACTCATTTTTCTCCCGAATCCTAAGTCCACAGCTTCTGTGACTCAGCTTTGCAGAGAATAAACTGTGAGTTAAGAGTTGTCTCGAGACTGGGTGAGTATTTGAGTCGTTACGTCAATCCGCCTCTGTGTGATGTTTTTATCTACGAGTTCATTACAATAAAGTGATTTTTTATATTATCTTCCTTTTCTTAAAAGGGGGAATGTCTGTGTTTTCTACTGTAGCAGAATACTGCTGTCTGGGCATTGTTGAATATGAATATCTGCACAGCTTTTGGGTTGAAGCCTTGGTCCCCAACAGGTGGCACTATTTTGAGAGATAATTGAAACTTAGGAGGTAGGGGCTTCTCTGGAGGAAGTAGGGTTGATGGGGATGGAACTTTGAAGGGCAGATCTTGTCCAGATCCTTCTCCATCTCTCTCTCTTTCCTGGCTGCTGTGGGGTGAGAATCTTGGCTCCACCATGTCCTGTCCACCATGATGCTCTGGCTTACCAAGGTCCAGCCATAATGGAGCCAGCTTGACCATAAACTGAAATCTCTGAAAATGTGATCCCAAATAAATATTTCTCCTGCAAATTGTTGTTCACAGTCCTGATGACTGACTAGCACAATGAGTACTTTATAAACCAGAGTTTGGCTCATGGTGCTGGAGGCTAGTAGGTCCCAGATACAGGGACTCCATCTGCTGAGGGCCTCGATGTCCTTAGAGGCTGGGGATGTTGGATCCCCTGAAGCTGAGTCATCGGACATGATGCTAGGGACCAACTTGGGTTTTCTGTAGGAACAGTAAGAACTCTTCACAGCTGAGCCATCTTCCTGGCTCCTCTTATCATGGGTTCTTTTCTGTTGTTCTTTATTTTAATCTTTCATATTTGGTCTAAGATCCCTCTCCAGAGGCCCTTGTTCACTCATGGCCAGTGGAGGACTTGGTAGCTAGAAGGAGCTTGGGAAATACTTGCTGAATGATAGAATGTATGAAAAACACTATTTTGGAGCTACACAGATAAAAGATTAAAGGACAATGCTATCTGTAGGCAGACATCATGGCTCCAGAAAAGCATTCAGAGCTCTGTATTCTTTACGAAAAGCATGTGTTTCTAGTCTGCTCAGTGTAAGCCAATCACCCTTGCTCCATGTGCAGGCAAACTCACGTCCAGTCTCCCTCCTGTGTTTCCCACCCTGTCAGATCCTAGCCTTCCCCAGGGCGCTGCCTTGGTTCTGGGTGCCGATGTCTCTCTTTGGATGGCCTCTTATCCAGCTCTCTTTCTTGGTATGTCCAAGTGGGTTTCCTGATGTGCAAGTCCACGTCAGCTCTGGCTTAAAACCCTTTGGGGACTCCTGCTGCCCTCAAGAGAAAAGCTAAACGACTCGGTCGATGTGATTTGTGTCATCTGGTCCTTGCCACTCTCCATCATCCTCCCCATTGGTCCCCACACTCATGGAGATGGTACTCAGCTGCCCGTCACACAGAGTCACCAGGCCCCCAATGCTGCCCGCTGTCTACACACACTACTTCACTCCTCTGCAACGCTTCATTTTTGATCTGCCATCTAAGTTAGGCTTTGGCTTCATTTCTGTCCCAGAAGCCTCTCTGATTCTAAACTTTGGATCTCTCTCTCTCTCTCTCTCTCTCTCTCTCTCTCTCTCTCTCTCTCTCTCTCATGTATATGTGTGTTTCTGTTATATTAACCTTTACAGAATTCGCCACACAATGCTATTGTGTGTTCATTTCCTTAATACTTTAAGCTTCTGAAGCAGAGAGACTGTGTTGTGGTTTTGAGTGAATTAAAGCGAATGAAGAGAGGAAGCACTAAAAAGTGGCTGTCTTCACATTCAGACTTAGAGAAGTTGGCTTTGATGAATTATAACAGCGAGTGAAGACAGCAGAAACAGTTCCCCTTGTTATACTCCATGTGCTCGTGTGCTAATGGTTCTGAATGGTCTTCTATATTTATTTTTAGATTGTGCCGTTCTGCGGAGCCTTAGTAAGTTTTGATTTTGAGACAAGATCTCACAACGTAACCCTGGCTAGCTAGCCTATAACTCACTGTGTAGACCAGGCTGGTCTCACACCTGGCCAACCAACATTTTTTCATCATGGTTCCACTGGGGCTCGAACCTAAGACCGTCAGCATGTAAAACAGATGTGATCACCATTACACTATGGAACTCAAAGAATGGAATGCTCCGGGAATTCGTGTTGATCTTAATGGAAGCCAGTATCTCGGGTGGAGGGTGGGGGTTAGTGTGACTGACTGGTAGTTGTGTCTCAGTTAACAATGGAAAAGAAATCTGGAGGCTGCCAGCCTCACTTTAAAGGGAATGAGAGCTTCCGGCTTGGTGAGGTTGCTTTGAAGACACAGCCTCCCATCTGAGATAGGCCTGAGGGAGCCAAGGAGCATGACCCCGGCCAACACATACACATGACCGAGGAAGAGTGAATCCACACTGTGGAGGAATTTAGCGGAAATGTTTTGAAGAAATAATAATGCTATTGCCCACTAACGACAATGGTGCCCCTCAACCCTCTGTCAGTAAGGGACAAACTTTTAACTTTTTCCCAACAGTGGGATGATATCCCCCACTCCACCTAGGGCTGCCAATTTCAACAAATAAAAGCAAGAGGCTGTCCAGTTAAATTGGAATTGTGGTCTATTGCAAATAATGAATACGTCTACATAGTCACACAAAAATTGAAAGTATTCACTGTTTATTCAGATTTAATTGAGAGTCCTGTTTCACACAGCAGCTCTGGCCATACTCCAAATGCCTCCCTCTGGTTTGCCTAGGAAGACCTCAGCAGGGTCGTTGCTGGTGCCTGTGCCCACCAGCATGCTTCTAAGGGCTCTCCTCACGGCCATGAATATCTAGCCATTCAAAAACTACTTCTGGCCAGTCAAGCCTAAACTCCCACGTTCAAGAGTGGAAATGGTTCCTTGGTTGAAGCACTCATAGAGCATACCAACTATACCTCTAAACTCAGCAAGAGTCCGTTTCCACAGAGCGTTGGAAGCTACTGGCCAAAGCAAGATTCAGCGACAAGCCACTCAGAAACAGTCCAGAAGGGGTAATCACTGTCTTCCCGTCTCACCCTAGCTAAGAAGACCATGAAAAAGTTTCCCACGTCCCTGGACTGGAAAGCGTTCCTTCCCCGACCTCTGGACACCGAATTCCGGCACCATTACCAAATTCCAGCTAAGATTCCTGAATTGCAGGATTTTAGTTTCAAATACGGATGCTACTCAGGCCTGCCTGTTGCTTCCCAGGGTCTGGGTAAGTAAGCCTTTAGGGATTCCAAATGCACAGCGAGCCACCAGGCCTCTCTGCCTGACACACAGAAGCCCACACCGTGGCGCTGACTTTTGGAAAGGAGTTTTGTTCTTAACTGACAAGGAGGAGCATGGGTCTGTCTCTAATATTACCCACTAGCAAAGGGACCGAAGTGCAGGGCGGGAGGGAAGTAGGAGCTGGAACTTCTTTTTTAATGTGTATGGGTGTTCTACCTGCAAGCGTGTCTGTGTAGCACATGTATGCCTGGAGGGACCAGAAGAGGGCGTGGGATCCCCTGGCACTGGAGTTACAGCTGGTTATGAGGCACCATGTGAGTGCTGGAAATTGAACCTGGGTCCTCTGCAAGAGCTGCCAGTGCTCTAATCACTGCGCCATCTCTCGAGCCCCTGTACCTGGGATTTTTGATCTGCTCTGGCATTCAGTGTGCAGAATCAGTTGTGAATTGCACATACATTGTGATTGGACGATTTCCACTTATTCTGGCCACTCTGCCTGGTTGAGGTCTCTGGCCACTCACTGTTCCTCCATCTTCAGGTTCCCACCTTTGGGTTCCACCAAGGCCTGAGACCTGAAGAAGTTGGCAGAGCAGCGGGTTTTGTTTTTTTACAAACAGCAGTTGTTGCTGTGGCTTGACCTCACCTTGCTCCAAGACTGATTGGTGCAGAAGGCCCTGGCAGCCAGTGATTGGTGCAGAAGGAAGGCCCTGGCAGCCAGTGATTGGTGCAGAAGGCCCTGGCAGCCAGTGATTGGTGCAGAAGGCCCTGACAGCCAGTGATTGGTGCAGAAGGCCCTGGCAGCTGGTTTTGATAGCGGCCATGCAGAATGTCTGAGCTGCTGTAGTTCCCCAGCTCAGGGGGAGGGACCTGGGAATCTCAGGAGACTGCCAGCTTAGGCCTTAAATTGATGGCACCCTGCCAGGGTGGAGCCGTGGTTGGAGTCAGGAGCCTGCCCTACAATGACGGGATTAGAATCACTTGAGACTTGTCAACCACTCAGCCATTTCTGACGGCGCCCCATAAGCGTTCTCAGATTCAGTTCTCATGCTGACCTAGCGAGCCTTCGTGATCCCGATTCCTATCCCTTTTGATAGGAGTGTTTTTACGAGTTCCATCACCGGGCAACCTACTTGTTAAGAAAATGACTCGGCAGGTTAGGGAGCTGGCTCAGCGGGTTAAAGGTGCTTGTAGTCAAGCCTGATGGCCCATGTTCAGTAAGTACCCCAGCCCCACGTGACGGAAGGACGACACTGACTTGTGGGTCATGGGAGGAGCGACCCACCTTCGCTGAGGGCTGACGCCGTCCCTGCTTATACACCCCGGGCAATGCTCCACACTCCAAGCTGTACCCTCGTTATCTGATATCCCAACTGCCTGAAACTTCTCACCACTGGGAGATTCCTTCCTAAGCTTGTGGCCGCTAATTTTGTTTCTTCCCAAGGAGGTTAATGAGTAGAAATTCTCTACCCTCTGGAAGTCACAGGGTAGAAGAATTCTGAGAACCATAGGGCAGAGGAATCTCAGTGTTCTTTCTCAGCTAAAGCACTTTTCAGACCCTGGCATTCTCCTCGGGAGGGGGGCGGTATTGAGATTTCTTGTCCAGTCTGTTCCTCACATTTGGTCCCTTAAAAGGGGGGTGCCTGGGACTGGGGACAGTATTTAAGGTGTTTGTGTTTTTACAAAAGTTGAGCCACTTGTAAAAAAAAATCACTTTTTAAAACATCATATCTTCATTATTGAAAATTATAACTCCACAAATCTCAGAATCCAAATTAGTCTAATCATAATTCATATCCAATATGAGTAGCTGGAGTTGCCTGCCCTCTGACTTCTTCTAGTCTGAATGGACAGCACATGTTTGCTGTACAGGCCACCATTCTTCTAAAATGCTCACCCTAAGGCTTCCTACGTCACTGGAAATGGGTCTCTTCACATGCTCCTCTGAGGATGCCCGGAGATGTCCTGAGAGAAAACAAAACTTTTACAAAGTCCGTTTATCAGGAAGCCAGCGGCAAACATTACCCACGATGTTAAGAGCAGAACTCACAAAGAGCTGACTCTCTCACAATGGTGCTCACACTCAGCCTTCGGGCCGTGTCTCCCACACCTCCCACTTCCAGCCTCACCAGCCACAGCAGCTTGGCACAGCCCCTAAGTCATCGGTAGGGTGTCTACGTAGCATCCCGGTAAGGATGCTGAGGACGGTCCGGGCTGGGCTTGGGTGGGAGGGGTGTGTTCGAACAAGGCCGGGCATTCTGCTCATCGACAGCCTGTGCGTCTTGTCTGCCCCTGTGTGCCCGCAGTGCCCTCTGTACTGCACAGCTACATCCGGAACCAGGAGCGTACAAAGCAGCAGACCACGTATGAGAACGACTACGGGAAAAACTGCCTGGACTTCTTGATGATCTTAGACTCATTCAGCCCCTCCCAAATCAGCAGGTACCTGGAGAGTGTTTCCAACAAAGGTAAGGGGCCTCAAGTCACCACTTCATATGTCCATCAGTGTAGTGAACGCCTTTCTTAATATGCTGTTCTTATTCCTAATAAGCTGTTCCCGTTTTAACCATTGGTGTTGAATATAATAACCAAACCAAACAAACAAACAAAATCCCCCCAAAGGACGAACAAACAAAAAGACAAAGACCACTGTCTTAGCTAGGGTTTCTATTGCTGTGAAGAGACACCATGACCACAGCAACTCTTATAAAAGAAAACATTTAATTGGGGCTGGCTTACCGTTCAGAGGTTTAGTCCATTATCATCATGGCAGGAAGCATGGCAGCCTGCAGGCAGATGTGGTGCTGGAGAAGGAGCTGAGAGTTCTACATCTTGATCCACAGGCAGTGGGAAGGGACAGTGAGCTATACTGGGCCTGGCTTGAGCATCTGAAACCTCAGAGTCTTCCCTCAGTGACACGCTTCCTCCAACGAGGCCACATCTACTGCAGCAAGGCCACACCTCCTAATAGTGCCACTCCCTATGGGCCCATGAAGGCCGTTTTCTTTCAAACCACCACACTACTTAAAAAAAAAAAATCCCAAAGTGCCATGCAAACCTTGATCATTGGAAACTTACTTTCCTAAGAGGCACACCAGAGACCCTTGTTCACATAGCTCTGTCTTATGCGTCTGGTCTCACTGCACGGGTGGTTGAGCTGTGTGTGCTGGGGTGACTGACCTCCCTCCAGTTGGCTTTTGTACTGTCTCACAGTTTTGCTGTGTTTTGTTTACGCTTTATTTCCTGTTTAGTTGTACTTTTTTAGTGGCAGGCTGTTTACACACAGGAATCCTATTTCACACCCCCGAAGATCAAGTGCCATCTCAGGACAGGGTGGAGTTGTTCCATGTAACAAGCTTATCAGACCAGCTCTAGGATGTCCGGTAACCTGAGAAAGTATAAAATGTCACCAAGGGAACAAGGGAGCCTGAGGACAGGAAGCAGTCCTTCCTTGTGTGTGTGTGTGTGAGCTCACAACCACGGAAGGTGAATTCCTATGCCACAGATGTGCTGTGTCCACTAGAAAACACACTAATTTCAAGGAGGAAGTAAAAGAAACACAGGAAGAGGGTGTAATATTTTCAGGTTCCTAAGACACCTCTTACACCCGACTTTGTGCACGAGGCAGTGTGGGGTGTGGGGCCACCAACCACTTCCTTTTCTGTGACCACGCTTATGCAGCAGACGGCTCCCAGTTGCTCGCTCTTCAGTGGTACCCTTCCACCTCACCCCACTCTGCGCCCCCTCCATCCCTAATCACCGCTCCTCACCCCTCCCTTGCCAAAGAGTTAACTCTAAAACTGACTCTCCCCTCCGGCCGCCCCCGAGATCTCCTGCTCCACACCGGACTTCAGCCCTCCTGTGTGCGCATGCACGGAAGCGGAAGGAGAACACGGACCTTGGAAGTACCCCCTTTTCTTTCCATTGTGCTCTTCCTCTCCTGAATCAGAAGCTCACTCTTTGGCTGGGCTGGCGACCAGCAAGCTCCTTGGGAGTCATTAATCTTGGTGTTCCAGTGCTGGGATTATCGCCACTCGAAACCCTGAGTGGCTTTCTTTATGTGGACAATAGGAATTCAAACTCGGGTCCTTTATGCTTGCAAAGTAAGTGGTTTTACCCACTCAGCCGTTGCTCTAGCCTTTCAAATGCTTTTAAGGATGGAACACACACACACACACACACACACACACACACACACACACACACACACACACACACTCCAAGAAGAGGAAACAAGTGCCCGGATGTTGGACGTCGGGGGAAACAGGCTAACCAGCTGCTTTGCCTCCCATGGAAGCAGAAGCGTGTTTTCTCCTGGGAGTCTCATTCCTCTCAACAGATGCCTCAAGGCCAGGCTGTCTCTTCAGGAGGAACTGAGAGCCTTCTGGAAGCCTGCTGCGCAAGTCCCTGAAGACACAGGGGAGTCCAGCAGCAAAGCCAAGCTGCCTGCCTGCCTGCTCTCTTCACCATGTTGGTGTAAATTGTGTAAAGCTACTCTCTGCATTTGCAAAGCGCTCACTTTACCTCTAAGAGTCACATCCCTTGGGTCCACAGAGGGAGGAATTCTGCTTCCTCCCGAAGGTGCTGACATCTGCCCAGGGATCCGGGACCAGATGCAGCCATCACAGGGGCCAGACATCTGGTTTCCCACTCTGTGTGTGTGTGCAGTCTGAGGCTTGACCTTGCTGCCTAGGAGTGAGCTGGAGGGCCGAGGTGGGAGGCTCTGTTCTCCCTAGGGAAGATGAACTTTCCAGGCAGTGAGATTTGTCCATCCAGTCAGCATTCCCTCTCCTAGGCCTCCCAGTAAACCAACCAGGTACCTCTGGGATAAGTTAGGCTTTTGTTTCTTTGGTTCTTCAAGGCAGCATTGGGGGCAGATGCCGGAAAGCACACGGGTGGCCCGGAGCTTTAGCTGTCTCACGATGCCCCCGGCTGCTGGAGAAGCCACCTTATCCCAACTCCAATACCCTCACCCATCGGTGCAGCTGTTAGGGGGCGCTGGCAAGTGGGAGGTTCCCTTAAAGCTTTTATGCAGCAAACCTCTCCTCATCTTCTAGTGTCAGGGATGATGGGAATGCCCGGCACATCCCAGCAGCATTTTCACAGCGGGCTCAGCTGGATTTCAGAATGAAGAGACCTGAGATGTCTTAGGCTCACTTATTATCGGCTCAGCTTAAGTCATGTGATTGGATTATCTTGTGTGAGCAGTCAGCTTTTGTGGACTAGGAGACCCGAGCAGTGGTATTTTTATTGGAAAGAGAAAGATAGGGAGGGGAAGGGGGAAGGAGGGAGGGAGGGGGACAGAGAGAGGCAGAGAGCGAGAGCGCGAGAGAGCGCCACAGCGAGAGACACTAGTCTTCCCCCTAAGTAACACCCCAGGTTGGGGTGGGAGGCATGGCAGACTGAGGAAGGGTAGAGGAAACCGCAGAGCTGGAGAAGGAAGAGAGACAGGGAAAGCAGGCCGCTGTGTCCAGGAACCCTCTGCCACCACTGTTTGGTACAAACGTCTCTCCTGTGAAATCTGAAATCCTGTGAGCACCCACGGGACCACTGGTGAAAAATTCCACACCTTACTTCACACTAAGTGTCACAGTTACAGCGCAGGCATGTGAAAAATGTTGCACACTATTATCCCAGGCTTGTGTCTGCAAGCCATACAGGAGACAGAAGCAAATTTTGTGTTTAGACTGGGATCCAGTCTCCCAGAGACCTCACCACGTATATGCCCATATTCCCAAATCCAAGAAAAATCTGAAACATTTTGAGTTCTGAGCATTTTGGAATAGTGATGCTTAAACCCATATTGAGCTTGTTTCTAACTCAAGAAGCTTGGACTGTGTTCTTCAGTGGACAATCTATGTTCAGAATTCTTTTATCCTGAGTTGGATTCCAACAACTTGGAAGCTGACAGTTCCTGCATTTGTCATCCGCTGGGAAAAGCCCTGTCTTCTGCCCACTCTCCTCCCACGCGAGTGATAAAATTATCTGAAATCTGGTTTTCGCTATATCTTTAAGATATGACTGCTTCCCTATTTTTTACACCAATATAAAATTTGTAAGGTGTTTCTCTCAAGCCTGCAATTCAGAATTCAGAATGCATGGGTTGGGGCTGGAAGGGTGGCTCAGTGGTTGAGAGCATTGGCTGCTCTTCGAGGATCCGGGTTAAATTCCCAGCATCCATCTGGCAGCCCACAACCATCTCTAACTCCAGTTCCAGGGAATCTTCCACCCTGTTCTGACCTCTAGGGGTACTGCATGCACATGGTACACAGACATACATACAGGCAGAACACTCTTAAACATAAATAATTTTGAAAAGAATGCATGTATTCAAACCCATCCTATTAGGGAACTCACTGTGCAGTGGGGAAAGACAGAGGCCTAAGTATAATGACACATACCACCATGAAAGAAATAGTTGATTCTAGGAAAAGCCTGTGCGGGGTGCTGTTAGCCCTAGGTCCACAGCAGGTGAGAGGCAAGTTCTCAGGTCAGCATGGTCCTCACATCAAGGAGTGACAGGGCCGCTCCAGCAGAGAGAATTGGAACAACAGAACCAGAATATTTGTATGAAGGGGATTTATTGGATTGCTGTACAGGGTAGGGGCTGGGTGGTCCAACAACAGCCACCTGGAGATAAAGAGAACAAGACAGCTGCCCGATCCAGGAAGTGCCCAATCAGCACTCCCAGTCGGGAACCACATTAGGTCCAGACACTCTCTGGAGAGTCTTGGAGTCTATGCCGGAAGGACAAGTCCGCACAGGATGGCTGCAGCAAGACAGACACACCAGCTCAGGAAGAGGCGTTGACCAGCACCTGCTGGCTGCTTCCTCTCCAGACTTCTTCTTATCCAAGTCGTCCTTTGGAAGATACCACCCTCACCGAGGGCAGCCTCCCCTACTCCCCCACCCATGGGTCGATCTCTGGAAGCACCCCAACAAATCCACAGGCACGGCTGAATTCAGTCAAGTTGTCGATCGTCATCAACCACCACAAACGTAACCAACACAGCTGTCGAGCACAGCGGGCCTTCTGAGCAACTTGGCTGACACTGAGTTTGATGGACACCGGGTCATCTTGTTTTGGCTAATGTGTGCCCAGTTTGATTCACTCTCGACGCACGTCTTCATTATGAGAAGGGCATTTTGTTGCTTCTATACTTAAGTATAAACTTCAAAACTACAGACAAGCTGAAGGAGGAACAGACTGGGTGACAGCAATTAGTGACATGGAACATACAGAATTCCCACATGCAGGGGAATGACAAATTGAGGAATCACTCTGGGAAGAGCTCTGATGGCATCTTACAAATTTAAACATACGCCTATATCTTGACTTAGAAATTCTACTTCTGGATATTGGCCTGTGAGAAAAGAAGGTGTGCAGCCACCAAAGGACTTGTACAAAAATATTTATAACAATTTCATTCTTAATATTCCAGAACTGGAAACAGTCCCCATCTCCATCAACAGGAAAAAATGGAAGAAGTTTGATATTTTAACAACTTGGCAATAAAAGGGAGCACATTCCTGATGGAGAACACAAAATGTACAAACTCAAAAGATGCTGAACCACAACATCAAAATCCAAACATTAAAGACGAGCTCTTGTATGATTCCATTTATGTGAAGGTCCACAGCGGGCAACTCTCATCCACGGTGAAAGAAACGGGAGCAGAGGCTGTCTTGGGGTCAACAGTGTTGCCTGGGAAGCATGGAGAAGGGCTTCCTGGGTGGTGGAAGTCAACTCTAAGTGGGTGCGGCTCATCGGTGTACACAAGTCAACGGACGAACATTGCATGGAAGGTCAGCGGATTTTGTTCCATGAGAGGCGCCCCTGAGTTGAAAAGGACTGAGATCAAGGAAGAGATAAGATGGAGCAGGAATAGCTCACAAATAAATGCAAATGTAACTATCGAGGACACAAACTCCGTGTACACACTGTGGAAACAGGCTAGCCTTGGCATCACACAAAGAGGCACAAACACAAAGTGGCCCAGCGAGGCAATTTGTTTTTGTAAAATATGTAGGCTGTGACCCAAACTGAGCTAGCAAGCACCCAAGGCCAGTGTGGCCTCTGTCTTTCATCGCTAATGCAGGGGGGACTTGGTGGTTCCTCTCTGGCTGTGTCTACTTTTGATTGGAAAGTGGCATAAGGAAATGGAGAAGGAGCGAGGCACTCCCAGCTGTCAAGTTCTGGGAATGTGGCGGGGCTTTCCCGTGAACAAAGTTTTACCGGGTAGAGGAGTTAAAACTTTTGAATTCCTCTGCATGAATAGTTTACCAGGTGGGAGAAATTTATGGTATATTGGTCCTTGGTGGGCTAGCTATGTTTGATGTTATTTTTTCTCACAACACACACACACACACACACACACACACACACACACACACACACACACAGCCTTGATCTATGGGTCTCAGCTGGCATTGTGACACCGAGCAAGAGGATGACTGACCATGGCGGATGACAGTTCTGGGCACGAAGAGTTTCACAGTTCCACCCTATGTGAATGCTGTTAAGACTGGGGAATCGCAGGTGTTCAGAACCAGACAGGACTCTACTTCACAGTCCAGGAGTTAAAGGGCTTCCCAAAGGTGGGCAGGTAGGACTCAAGGCCAGCAAAGGCCACCAATGTTGGGTAGAGAGAAAACAGCCCTGAATTCTACACAGCGTTCAGGGCAGATCCCCATTTTCCTCACCACTGTTTATTACTGTGCACCCTAGAAAGGCAGATAAGGCTGCTAATTAATGAACGTCACACATTAATTTAATATGTGATATCACACACAGTGGGCTCAGCCCTCCAAACAGTGCAGGGTGAGTGTGGTGATCTGCATTCAGAGATGAGGGACAAGACGTGGCTTAGATAATACTTGCTGGCGCAGAACTGAGCTGTGGGCCTGTGTCCTTCGCAAGCCCATGCCCTTTCCCGTGAGCACGCTGATTCACTCTGAACGGGTAGGGCACCATGCCTCTCTACACCGTACATAGTACCCTCAAATCATACTTTCATATCAAACTTGGGAATAACGTCCTCCTTCCAGAGATTTGCTTCCTCGGAGGATTTTGCTGTTTGGTGTTTGTGTAGGAAACCTCTGCTTTTCTTTATTGGCAGACAGGCAAATTCTGGATCGCTTCATCCGATCTCACTGTGACGCCAATCAGGGGGCAAACAGGAAAGGACAACAAAGTTGCTCGAAGAGACCCTGAGGCCAGCGACGTGCCCAGCTCCACCCAGTCGTTTCCTAATCGTCAAGGAAAACGAGGTGAACTTGCTCGAGTACACTGCGGCAGTGTGACTGTGTATGTTCTGCTGTGTTCTGTTTTTAAATGAAACCAATTAAAGTTACACACTGCCCTGAGGACATAGCTTTAGCTGTGTCCCATGGGTTTTGATGTCACGTGTTTTCTTCTTTTTATTTATTATTTTTTTTATAGCTTTTGGTTTCAATTTTGAGTTCCTCTGCAGAGAAGTTCCAACTTCCCAACAATGAAAATATTTTAAAGAGCCTGGCGGTGGTGGCGCACGCCTTTAATCCCAGCACTCGGGAGGCAGAGGCAGATGGATCTTTGTGAGTTCGAGGCCAGCCTGGTCTACAGAGCGAGATCCAGGAAAGGCGCAAAGCTACACAGAGAAACTCTGTCTCAAAAAAAAAAAAAAAATTTAAAGATGTTTCCATTGTTGATTTTTGTTTTGAATGCTGTAAAAAAAAAAAAAAAACCAACATCCACTTTGGGGAATTCTTCAAAGCTTTGGTGTGTGTTGTTAACCCAACATGTGATTATACCTTACAAGAATATATGAGAAAAACTCATTTATGTACTTCTGAAATCCTTAACTGTATTCTTCAACTGTCAAGTTCTGAAAAAATATTAAAAACATCAGACAAGCCAGGCAGTGGTGGCACACGCCTTTAATCCCAGCACTCGGGAGGCAGAGGCAGGAGGATCTCTGTGAGTTCGAGGCCAGCCTGATCTACAGGGTGAGATCCAGGACAGGCACCAAAGCTACACATGGAAACCCTGTCTCAACCCCCCCCCCAAAAAAAATCAGACAATAAACATAGTCTCGTCAATCTTTCCCTACATTTTGGGGATTTCTTTCATTAAAAGAAAAAGGTTTTATTTTATGTGTATGGGTGTTTTGCCTGCAGGTATACAGGTGGACAATGTCCACACACCAGCAGTGTCCTGGAAAGCCAGGAGAGGGCATCTGATGCCCTGGAACTGGAGTTACAGCCCTGTGGGTGCTGGGATCTGAATCCCGGTCCTCTACAAGAACAGCCCGTGCTCTTAACCGCTGAGCCGTCTCACCAGCCCACCCCGCTCTATTTTTGACCGTGGGATTATGCGAAGCGCCTCTGCTGACTAACTTTCCCGTTACATTGTCCTTTTTAAAAGCTTGGTTCGTGTTTTCGGATCGAATTGCATTTGAATTGCTGTTAACATCGCGTTCATCTGTTTCTTTTTCCTTTGCATTTATTCAGCGCGTTCTCCTGCCACACACTCTCTCCTGTCTTAACTTCCAGTCCGTTTTTCCCCCTTTGTAAATTTTATGTGTGCGGGTGTTTCGTCTGCACATGTGAATGTGACCATGTGAGTGTTTGGCAGCCTCGCAGATCAGAAAAGGGCACTGGATCTCCTGGAACTGGAGTTAGAGATGGTTGTGAGCCACCATGAGGCTGCTGGGACCTGGGTCCTCTGCAGTGCTCTAACCACTGAGCTCTCTCCAGCCCTCAGTCTGATTTTGTAGCTTGCTTTCAGGGACTGTCTAGAAAGACTTCTTTGCTTAGGTTTTGCCTTTTAATGTGGCGACTGTGTCTTTTGATGCTAGAATTTACTTCGCCCCACAGTGATAGTGACGCTTTATTCGCTCGATTTTAGGTCTTCTATATCAGTATTGCTGTCTGCCATTCTTGCTCTTCCAATTTTCTAATTTTCTCTCCCTTTTATGCATGCAACTTTTCATTTTCATCCTTTATCACACATTATTATTACTACATTTAAATTTCTCCACCCAAACATATATGTAAACTACATAACCCCTATATTCTCAATGACCCTTGTTTACTGAGAAAAATTTTTCTCATTTTGTTTTCTGCCTCTGACTCCATTCCCTGCACACACAGCAGGAACTCACCGTTCCCGTTTAGATGCCGAGGTAGTTCAGAATTTGTTTTATTAGAGATTCTTTCTCTGTTTAAAATTGAAGTCATGGGCGTTTGATACAGTCAATCACTTACCAATGTGGTCCATTATACATAGCTATCACTGCTTCCCACACCCTCTTATTTCTACATACCACGAGCTGCATGTTCTGATTTACACTCTTTGGAGGGAAAAACCTCTGGGGGCAGTACTCCAAATCTTACTTGTTCAAGCACAACCTAGAACTCACTCTGTAGACCAGGCTGGCCTTGAACTCACAGAGATCCATCTGCCTCTGTCCCTGGAGTGCTGGGTTAAAGGTGTGTGCCAACCATGCCCAGTTTATATTTTAATTTTAATGTTTCCCTTTTCCCTCTGTATGTTTCTTTAGGTTAACCCATGTTATTATTATTTTTTATTACATCATCCTCACCTTCATATCGACTTGTTTATGTTGCTTATCTAGTTATTGGTTGCCCCTGTTTCTCCAGGATACATCTTGAATTAATCAGATTTTGTACCAAACAACATTTCTCCAAAAGTTTTTCAAGGTCCTTTACCTGTATGCACCTGATTCCCCCATGCTTAGCCTTTTGCTAATGTTATGTTCATTTTATTTTTACATGGGGTATAAATAAATGTTTCTGTGAATTTTAGACAGATAATTTAAGCTAAGTTAGGTATTTACGTATTTACAGTACTTAACATTTAACATCCTTCTAGCCCTCTTCCTTCTGTGTGTAGATCTGAGCTTGTGTGTCACCGAGTTCCTCTTCCGGAAGAACGTGTACCTACTAGTTTCATACCTTTTCTTCCTGGTCGACCCTTCCTGTGGCGCTATTAACCTAGTCAGAAGATGGCGTGAGTTTAAGGCTAGTTGTTGGGGTTCCCATCACCACAGGCTTCAAGTTCTCCTCACTTTGTGTTTCCCCAAAAACGCCATTGCTCCTTTGTTCATGAAAGGAGTTTTTCCAGCCGCAGAGTTCTTTTCCAACAGGTTTTATTCTTTCAGCCACTGATGCTCTGCTGCTGGTGTCTTTTCCAAAACAGAATGTTCTGGAATCCTCGGTTCCTCCATGTGTCTGTTTTCTCTTATTGCCCTTCCAGATTTCCATCTTTTGTTTTCAGCATTTTGAATCTGCTGTGAAGTGTTTCCTCTCTCTGGTCGGCGTTGGTACGCATCCTGCCTGTTGTTCTCTGAGCTTCCTAGAACAATCATGGATGTCTGTCATTAACTTTGGAAAGTCCTCAGCCTGTGTCTTCAAACAAGTCCTCCACCCTGTTCCATTTGTTCCATTTGATGCTGTTACACAGTTCTGGAGTGTTCCCCCCCCCCCCGATTGATTTTTGCTCTTTATACTCCAGTTCAGTGGACTTCTATTGAAGCATCCATTGAGTATCTACTGTGGACACTGGTTCTTTCTTATCTGAATCAAGTCTACTGTTCGGGCTTCAAAGGAGTTCTTCATCTCTGTTGCCGTATTTGTATGATGAACATCTCTGTGCCTGTCTTTCTGTGGATCCCAGCTCTACTGAAATGCATTTGATGTTACACGTTGTCCGTGTTTTCATTGGAGATGTCAGCATTTTAATCAGAATTCATTAAAAAGTTAACGTCTGGGCCTGAAGAGATGGCTCAGTGTTTAATAGCACTGGCTGCTCTTGAAAAGAACCAGGATTCAGTTCCCAGCACCCACAGGGCAGATCACAACCATCTGTAACTCCAGCTCCAGGAGTCCAACTCCCTCTTCTGGCCTCCTTAGGTACTGCACTCATGTGGTGCATATACACATGCAAGCAAGACACTCATACATGTAAAATAGAATGAAATCTAAAACACTAAAAGTAAAATTTGAAAAACTGTGCCATGGCTGCTTTGTGTCTCAGTGTGCTGTTCTTGTTTCCGGTCACATCCACAGCCTGCTTCTTTCACACAGGGAAATGCTACATAACAAGAATAGCACCCCCAAACCACATGGTTTTCATACCTAAAACCCCATACCACAAGATACGTGCAGACCCAAACCTTCATATAAACCCTCAAAATAGATGCCTGGTAGCCCAGTTGTCTGAGTCCCCATTGCTCGGGTGCTCAGAAAGAGGGACCAGTGCAGGTTCGTGTGCAGCCTCCTGACACTAAACCAGAGGACGCCCCTCAAGCCCCCACCCACGTCATTCCTTATGTCTTGGGAAGGAGCTTTACTGTCGTGCCAATGGCCTTCTGGTCTTGTGAAACTTCAGTGGGAAGCTGAACTCCAGGCATCCTGTCATCCCTTTCAAGGGAAAACCCAGAGACAGGAAAGGGCTTTGCTTCCCCCAAACTGCCTTTTCTGTAGGGTTGCAGGCCACAGCCAGCTGCTTTCCTTCACAGTCACCTTCCTGTCTAACTCAGTGACCAAGGGCTGATGGCATTTATCCGTAGGTGGTTAGATTCAACACTGGGACAGTTTATCTTAAGTGTTGTGGAATATTACTTTAAGATGTGTTACATTTGTTTATGCTGTGGAACATTAGTTTAATGATGCAAAGATGGGTTGCATTCTTTTACGTTGCATTTGTTTAACTCTGTAAAGCTGTGTTGCTTTGCTAAAACACCCGATGGTCTAATAAAGAGCTGAACAGCCAGGAGCGAGGCAGGAAAAAGGATGGGTTAGGCTGGCAGGCAGAGAGGATAAACAGAAGGAGAAATCTGGGAGGAGAAGAGAGAAGATGAAGGAACAAGAGAGGAAGGAGGAGGACCTCAGAGGCCAACCACCCAGCCACCCAGCCGCCCAGCCGCCCAGCCGCCCAGCCGCCCAGCCGCCCAGCCGCCCAGCCAGCCAGCCGCCCAGCCGCCCAGCCGCCCAGCCGCCCAGCCGCCCAGCCGCCCAGCCGCCCAGCCGCCCAGCCAGCCAGCCGCCCAGCCGCCCAGCCGCCCAGCCGCCCAGCCGCCCAGCCGCCCAGCCGCCCAGCCAGCCAGCCACACAGCCGCCCAGCCAGCCAGCCGCCCAGCCGCCCAGCCGCCCAGCCGCCCAGCCACCCAGCCACCCAGCCAGACACAGAGTAAGAAGGAAGGGAAAGATATACAGGAATAGAGAAAGATAAAAGCCCCGAAGTCAAAGATAGATGGGGTAATTTAAGTTAAGAAAAGCTGGCTAGAAACAAGCCAAGCTAAGGCCGGGCATTTATAATTAAGAACGAGCCTCCATGTGTGATTTGTTTGGGAACTGGGTGGTGGGCCCCCCAAAAGAGCAAAAACAACCAACAACACTTA